TTCCCCTCTCCCAGATAAGCACCCTAACTACTGGGCTAAAGAGTTAGGCTGTCACATGAGCGCTTGCATGGTTACTGCTTTCTCTGGCCTCATTAATATAGCATGGTAAGTTGAACAGTGTCACAGTTGCACTGAAGGAGTTGAGAATGCCAGTACTTTGGCTTTCCGTCTGTGGTTTTGAAATCTTCTGGTAGGTAGGGAACCATGAGTTTCTAACCCATCCAGCGAAGGTTGGCCTTAACCATAATCTTTCCATTTTTGAGCAAGTTTTCTAACTGCTAGACTGTAGAATAAGTCAAGAAACACTAATATGTCCTACAGCAGTTTTTTGGAATGAAGGTGGCTTTGGCTGCTGTGTTTGTTTCCTACTGAACTCAGTGTCACCAGCCTGTTTTTTTTGGTCTTCCCAAGTCAAGCAACTACCATTTGCCCACAATCAGCTATTAGTTAGGCACAGTGAGCAGATGGGTGCCCTTTACCTGCCCTGTTGCGTTAGTATCACTTGACCTCTGACTTGTCCTCCATGCCCACCTACCACGCCTTGATGTTGTAAGACTATTTAGGAGAACGGATGGTTCTCTGCACAGAGGTCTATCTGGCAGGGCCACAATCTTCCATAGGGCTCCACCTCCCTTACACTCTGCCCCTTTGCTCTCAGGTGGTTGTTCACTATTTTTCATTGGTCTGGAATGTGCAATGCCTTTCGGGCTTCTGCCTGAACTCCACCGGGTTATTTACTCTGTGGTTCTTTGGCCTTGGTTTCCCCTGGTTGATCCTGTCCTTGGCTGTACTTGTTGGATCACTCTACAGTCATCCTCTTTCTATGTCTCTGTCTCCTTGGTTGTTATCCCTGGTCCTTCCTTCTGAGGACTGTGTATTTCTGTGATTATCTGGACTTGTCCTGTTCTACACTTCCCTGTCCCTTCCAGTTTTATTTCAGTCCTCTAGACTAAAGTTCCTTTAAAGCCCCAGGTGTGGGAGATAGGTCCTCATTAAACATAGATCAGACAGAAGAAAGGGGGATCCTTCCTCCCCACTGGTCCTTCTTTTCTTTCAGAGACCTTAAATCAAAAGGGAGGTTTCTTTCTCCTGGTCTATATTGTCCCTTGATTCCAGAATCCAAACAACCTCCCCCCAAAAAGGTTTGAATGTGGTTGATCCCTACATGAGTTGAAGTTCTGTTAGGCTATCTTCATCAAGGGGCAACCGACAGCCCCTGAGCTGGATCTAGCCTAGGAAGTTTTGGGGCAATACAGAAAATTAGGTAGCTCATAGCCCACACTGCTGCTCTTCTCATGTCTGTGCTTACCTCAGTGCAGCGTGGGAAGTGTGGAGAGCTTTAGCTGTCTGGTGCAGCTGGGAGTCAGGTCCCAAGCTCTGGCCCAAGACAGCAAAATGTTGCTGATCCTTGGCCTAAAGCCACTTGGAATATAAGCTGACTCTGTATCTGAATTTCATGTGTGAATGTTTCTTGGAGCCAAATTCTGACATTCATATTCACGCTTAGTAAATAAATTACTTGTAAAGTTAATCAACTTGCCTGTATAGTGAATATAATACAATAAAGCTGTGCAAGTATATGTGTACTTGCAGATTATTCTATATAGAAAAGAAATAAACTATATAAGACTAAGGCATATTTATACTGCTCTTTATGGGAGTATAGCTGCATTCACACTAGAGGTTGTATAAATATATCAGTATGGAGGATGTCAAAGCAGCTTCTAGAACTTCAGAAGTGGCAGCCTGATCACCAACAATGACACAGTTTGTACCGGATCAAGTGTACTGTTTGTGGTGACATGCATACATTCATAGATGAAGATTACACTATAAAATAAAAGTTATGTTCCCCAAACCTGTGTAAATCAAGGTAATAAAGAATCCAACCTTCACTCTATTTGTACAAAATTAGGTTCACAATACCTACTTTTAAGATGTTTATTATATGTATCTAAAAATGAATTTTAGCATTGTTTAACACACTGGATTGAATCCATGTTAATTTTTGAAATTTTTAAATAATCAGTTTATTTTCCATGGTGCAAAACAATTGGTTATTTTAGGGGAAGGAAAATACATTCCATATGAGGAAAAAGTATCTTCAGAATGTATGAACAGAAATAAAACATTTTAGAGCCCCACCAATAAGCCCTCGGATGAAAGGAACCCTGTCATTTTGACTTGACACTTAATATTTTCGGAAGATGGAGAAACCTAAAGATGAGTGCATATTGACAATCTCATAATGCTTATTTTTTAATTATTATCGCTGTTTCTTTTTAATTTATTTTTTAGTGTGATGCTTAAAAAAAGTAAACATAAATTTGATGTTTTTAACTGTGCCAAAAGTGTATATAAGTAAAATAGAAGAGACCTTTTCAGATGTTTGGAAATTCTTAACTAAACTTTAGTTGTTTGAAAAGCAAAAGAAAGCATAAAAATATGAGGCCCAGGTTCTGATATCAGCACACCATAGTTTTAAAGTAGTCTACTGACAGCTAAATTATTTCTGCAATTTTAAATGGCTTGAACATTAAGTAGAATTTGGAAGTTGTTTTAAGTATGTTACAGTGGAAATATTTTACTATGTTTTTTGAGTTTCATCTCCACATTGAAACTAAGCCCACAGTACTGGACATCCATACTTTCCAGGTTAGTGAAATTAAGCATTGTGCTTGAACACCTAAGTTAACAACTGTGCATGGTTTACTACTTATCAGCTGTTCATTTGGGAGCATATACATTTTTGTAAGTGTGAGGACAAATTATACTTGCAACCCCAGAGGTGAAATAATTAGCTAGCAAATTGTAGAGATCTCCCTTTACTACAAGTGATTCTTTTTTAATCTGATTAAAGTGTATTCTACAAAGTAGATTCTTATTTCTGTATTCTTTTTAAGGTTTAAAATATGGCATTAAGAACTTTCAAAAGAAAATTCAGCGGAAATTCAAACTGTGGGTAAGAAGCGATTTCCATGGAAAAGCACGGGGAATGGAAAATAGGATGATTAACAAGAAACTGTCACTTTCTCTCAGAACAAAAACCCTTTACTTGCTCTTCAAGTTGGTGATTTTAAATAGGATCATGGATCTGTTTGTTTATTTTAATCTCCCTTTTGAGTCTATTACAATAAGGCAATGACATGTTCATTGACCAACTGAATCAAGTGTCTTTTTTGTGTACATAAATGACAAACCACATCAGTAGTTTTAGGGCATGTAGATAGAGGATGTCAAAGTTGATTCTAGAACTTCAGAAGTGGCAGCAGCATCATCAACATTACAATTTGTAGAGGGACAAATATAATGTTTGTAATGAAAAACAGTTTGAATCACTAAATCGATACAAATTAAAGCATAGAAAAATAAACTAAATGGAAGTTCAAATATAGAGAAAATGAAAATGAAAAGTACTTTTCTGAAATATATTTACAAGTTTTTCCCTTAATGCTGATACGCTGTACTACTGTGGTCAGAAACAAGAGTTTTGGGTTCAAGACTTCAGGCAACTAAATACAAAAGTAGGAACACATGCTTAGTTTTTGCTGAAGGGGCAGCTGTCAACAAAATTGCTAATAGTAGGCCATCTACAAAGGCAGTCTTTGAATGTAGAGTACTGACCTTGGAACTAGAAGAAATTGCTTGGTTGGATGATGTCTAAAATGAAAGCAAGGAGGGTAAGGCCTGGTTTGAAATGAGTTGAAAGTGAGGAATCCAAAATGTTTTTTATTCTGGGTGGTATAATCTGTTTCCTTAAATGTTAATGTTAATCTAATGCTGTTTGCGAAATGCAAAAATATGGGTGGGAGGGAGAATTGAGGTCTGTACATTTATTTGATTCTAGTGTTCCACTTTAACAAGAAGAAATATTAAATTACTGGAAAACTACATAATTTAAGTTTTAAGTTGCATTTCATTTATGTGATATTCACTTTTTGTGGGCTAAATGGAGAAGTACACTTTAGTGATACAGTGCAGAACTTGTTTAGAAAGTAAAAATGTAGTTCTTTCTCTATATAAATGAATATAATTTTCTGGAAAACATAGGTACCTCATGTTTTAATGTTCTTGACACAAAGTATTGCTAATTGTTTAGCAGGACTTGACGGTCTGTTCATTAGAAATGTTCTGAATGCCAAAAATTCTGGATCATTTTATTGAAAATATAAACTGAAAAAAAAGAGACACATAATTTTTTGAGACCACATCAATGATTTTTAACTTGTATTATAACACTTGCTTCTCTGTAATCAGTGGATTACAAGGTTCAGCTTTAGGTATACGTATACTGGATACAATTTTTTTTTAAATGCATGTAATTGGTAAGTGTGATAGCACCCTGCTTTTTCAGAATGTGTAGAAGCTTTTTCCCCCCTCACTTTATTCTGCAGTAAATTGTCTTTACTCTGATACAAGTATGCTTTTTTCTTCGTTTAATGGCTAAATGGGTTTAAGCAAAAGCCAGAAACACTTTCCTCATACTCTTCCAGAACTAATGTCCCTGAGAGTCATACCTATATAACTGTATAAGGACAAGTTTTCTTTGTAGGTGAAACTCTCCCTCTTTCATGACTGTCACTGAGCAACTTGCTTTCCATTGAATTTGCCATTTTCCTCTGACATTGGGAAGTGCTTTTATTAACATGGGGTGCGAGTATTCATAACATTACTGAAAATATAGAGTTATGGTTTAAGAGATTTTTCCCATTTTAAAAAAAGAAAAGTAAAAATATAAGGAAAAAAAAGAAGGGTTTTTGACAGGGTTTTTTTTGGTTTGTTTGTTTTTTTTTCTCTCCCTCTAATACCCATTATGGTAAATCATATTGCATCTCTCTATCTAAATGCAAAAATATCATGTAATCTGCCATCATAATTTTCCTTAAGTTCCAGCTTTTCTCATGAAATTTTAATGTATATTGCAGACTGTATCAAACTCGTAGGTTTAACTTTCTACTTTTGCATATATAACTGTGTTGTGATTTTGTTGCATTCACTAGGTTTGCTGGGATGGGTAATCTTCTTAAAGTCCTTACCAGGGAAATTGAAAACTATCCACATTTTTTCCTGGATTTTGAAAGTAAGTTAAAAAAATTACAGGATAATGAGAGAATCTTTTCCCTAATTATACAGCTGGTTGAGAAGGAACCCTTTAAATGTGATTTATAGTATACAGGTACCAGCAGACCTTGGCTCTCCAAAGCGATGTATCTAATATTATCCATTTGCTCAGAGCTCCTTTTCTTTTCCTTTTCTTTTTTTCAGGAACCAAATGGGAAATCTTTTAAAAGTTCTCACTTGCACAGAACTTGATCAGGGGCCAAATTTTTTCCTTGACTTTGAAAGTGAGCAAACTTCTTGCCTGGCTTGCCTTCTTCTCCTCGCTCCCCCTTCCGCCCCCAATAAACTGCATGAATTTTTGCATCGCAAAGTAATTCAAAAGGGATTTGCAAGCAAAGTAACTTACACTTCATATTGATATTGAATTCTTGTAGCCATAAAATATTTCTTGTAATATCACTAAAAACTTATTGGCAGATAATATGAGACATGATATTTAAGAGTAATTCTTGTCTTTACTTGGTTTCAAGACATTATTGTTGATTTTAACACAGAGAACTTATGTTTTACAAGTAATCTTTACTGTCTTAAACTTGCTTTAAGGGTTAAAAAATTAACACACATTTCTCTGTCCTCTTATCAGATGAAAGTATGTGTTTTTTTTTAATATACTCAACAGTTTCTATTAGAACTACAATCTAAATTGTTCAAAAATGACATTTCTTTGCATTGCTCAAAATGCATTTAACTGATTTTTTTTTTTTAATTAAAAAAAAGTGAATAATGTGGTCATAGTGTATATGCTTGATTGCATTTCTCTTAAGTGCATGTCTATCAGCTTGAGAAACTTTCTGATCACATCTATAGCTGAGGAAAGCTAATTTCAGTTTATTTGATTATTCTTGCATGTACTCTAGACTTTCTCTTGAAATCTAGCCATCAAATTCTGAAACATGGCTTAAATTAGTGTGCTCTGCTACTTATACAAAATACCTTTTTAAAATGCTAACAATATATGTTGTCTTGGCTGATGTCATAATACCTTTTATTTGAAATATTCCAAATGCATTTCTGGCAGCAATTACATTTAAATATAAACTTCTGTCAAGCTCTTTTGGGAGAGCAACCAACTTAATCTGAAAACATCTCTTTAAACTAAGTCCAAATGTCCTTTTACCTTGAAATAATCTTTAAAGAATTTGATACTTGCTTGTTTTACAATTTTTTTTTTTATTTATTTTTTTTTAGTAATAGGGAAAATTGTGTGTTGTGCATATTATTAAATCTGGATTCAGGAGATTGCTAAATAAAGATGACATAAGTATGTGCTTAAGCAAACAGCTTGAGTGTTCTTTCCTGGGTTGGGTCTAGAGCTTTTAAATACAATTTGTTGGAGCCTATGATAATCTTCCCATTCTGATTCTAATTTTACTTCAAAATGAAGAATCCATTCTAGACTACTGACAGATTAATTTGAGGCACAGAGAAATGATTTGGTTTATCAGCCTTGTATTCTTTTCTTCTTTGTCTGTATAACTCTTTTTTTTTTCTTACAGAAAAAAAATGGGGTTTTGAACCCTTCTGGATATCATGCTATTTTATCTATCAACATTTAGAGAGCTTAAATAAGTACTCTAGCGTCCCAATCTGTTACTAAGGTTTTTACTGTTTGAGGGCTACACTGTTTAATTAGTCCCATTGTGTCACAAATATGTGCTGCTACAAGAAGGCATATTTGGCAAGAAACAAGTGGTTTGGCAGTAGAATGCCTTGGAGTTGATGGTAGGATGCTATGTTAGCATTTGGGTTATAAATATTGGATTTTTCTTATTGCAAGCAAGAATTAAAATGGAGTGATTCAGAGGGCACCTGCTCCTCAAGGAAGGTGACAGGCAATTAGTATAGGCCCATGAATGTTATTTTAATGCATCCAACAATGGGAGGATCTAAAGTGACTAAATGCATGATGAGTTTGAGATTCCTGAGGGAAATTGTAAATGTGTGTTGCAATTTTATTATTATAATTCTTTGTATAAGACATTTTCATAATATTATGGGATGATTTCTATAACATGTAGTGGATTAATCTGCATATTCTCATGCTTTCATATACTTTAACATTAAAAGGAAGCTCTTGAACTGATTTGCATGAATATGAGTTGTACCTGAGGATTTGCTGGAATGGTTTGGTAACTTTCTGTATACTTAAGTTTTTCAGTTCTAGGTTTAAGTAGCTTAAAGTTTAGTTGAAATGGGCACTTTTAGAAATATGCCTTCAATATTTCCAAATTATTTCTTAAAATTTTTTAATCATTTGAGGGGGACCAGCACACTGCAAAAACCACCTGTGGTTCCTGAGAGTGCCCATTGTTTTGGGCTTGAGCAGTGATCAGATTTTTGATACACATTGAAATGAGAGACCACCTCTATTGGGAACATCCTCAAGTAGGGAGACCATCCTATAAGTCCATCATTCAACTTCCCAATGTCAACCATTGTCATGCTTGGGGGTATGCCAGTGATATGGTTGCACACCTGCCTCGTTAACGCAGGTGATCAACAGTAAAGAAATCATGAACACTATTGAAGCTAGTGGATGTATGTTGTGTCTTTAGCACTTATTTCTATGTTTAGACAACTGAAGTTCTTAAAGTGAGGCTTTTAATTGCTTAATTGCAGCATAGGACCTCAGTTCTGACGTCCTACATATTGGACATGTTACATTTTGAAAGTACTGGTTAGACATTTAGTACCATTTAGATCTTTTAATTGTTCAGTTTAAAATGATTTCTTCAAATGTATTTACAGAAACCCAGAAAACTAAAGCAGTTCAGTCCTACTCATGTTTAGTTAAACATTTAAGTTCACAAGGATCTAGCATGTGTATTCTCATGACATGTTTTATTACCACTATTGGTATGCATTTTGTTTGGGACAACTGCATTCATATGCCTTCTGGTAATATTAGTAGAATGGCAGGGGTTTTAGTTCAAATCCCCCTTTGTATTTTGTTCTCTATTTCTGTCTTGGGCTTGAGTCAGCTTTTCTTTGCTGATCTGCCAATTTGTTTTGGGCATTGAGACATCTTGGTAGTGGCAGAGACTGATGATGATAGTCATCAGTTAGCTCCAGTGTATTCCCTATACCAAATACACGATAGTGTTCAGAGCGATTGTGACCATGTTGAGTCTTGCAGTACTCCTCATGTTCACAACTGGCTGGTAAAGGGCTGGTTTAAATTTCTCTGGGTTCTGCTTGATAGAACAGTAGATCAACTAGTGCACTGTGCCATTTACTCCTTTCCCATTTACAATCTTGTGTACCTCTCAGCACAGGGTGACAAATGTTATGTAATTCCAAAGAACAGATATAGTAAGATATCCATAACTTACTTTGCTCTTACAAAGTTTTCTGTGACTGAATAAACAATGAATTCAAACAGAACCATTTTGGTGTTGTCCTGGTTGGAAACTGGATTAAGATGAATCCAGAGAATCTTTTCTTTGAGAAGTTGGCAAAGAAAAGATATTAATTGGATGTTTAATTTTATGAAGAAAAGGGAGATTGGGATTAATATACAGCCTAAAATCCGATTAATGTTTCTTCCCTCTCTGTTCAGCATTGGTGAGGCCACATCTGGTGTACTGTGTCCAGTCCCGTTCCCCCCCCCCCCCAAAAAAAAAAAAAAAAAAAGATCTAGACAAATTGGAGAAAGTCCAATGAATGGAGGGCACCAAAAATGGTTGGGGGGGGGGAGGAGCTGGTGCACATGACTTCTGAAGAGAAGCTGAGGGAACTGGGCTTATTTAGTGTGGAGAAGAGAAGAGAAGACTGAGGGGAAATATAATAGCAGCCTTCATCTACCTGAAGGCTGGTTTCAAAGAGGATGAAGCTGGACTGTTCTCAGGTGTGGCAGATGACAGAACAAGGAGCAATGCTCTCAAGTTACAGCAATGGAGGTTTAGCTTAGATATTAGGAAAAACTTTCCAACTAGGAGGGTAGTAAAGTACTGGAACAGGTTACCCAGAGAGGTGGTGGAATCCCCATTTTTGGAGGTTTTGAAGACCCAGGTAGACAAAGTCTTGGGTGGAATAATATAGCTGGGAACGGTCTTGCTTTGAGCAAGGGGTTGGACTTAGATAACCTCCTGAGGTCCTTTCCAACCCTAATTTTCTGTGATTTTATGACTGCGATGAAGATACACTTGTGCTAAAGATTAGATCTTGTGATCTAGGAATGGATTAGTTGATTTGGAATGTAAGAGCAGTAGTGAAGCTCTTTAGTATTTAGTTAAGTATTTTGTTGCTAGATATGTTGATACCCCACTGAAGTGTATAAATATTAAGAGATTTGTAAACCTGCCTAAGTTGTGTAATGCTTCTTTAATCTTCATGCGTGTTAAGTAAGGCAGCTATGTGTATGTGACTTACTTCATCTCTTAAATGCTTTTGGTAAAAGTAGTTGGAATCTCTAGGATGATTTTTTTCTGTGCACTCCCCCTCCTTCACATACATACACCCTGCTGCCAACCTTTTTTTACTTTTTAAAATTTGTTTCCTCAATCTTGCTATGCCACATATTTTACTGGGCTGAAATCTGGATGCATTTCAAAATCATTCCCTGAATTTCATGACATAACTCTCATATGCTAATCAAAATGGCCTGGTTGTTTTGCATTGATGTTTAGTAGTCAGATTTATTTTATTGACATCTCTCTTCACTCATGTGCTTGACAGAACTGAAAATGAAACCAGTTGTACAAAGTGATAAAACCTGTGTTCAGGGTTTTTTTTTTTTAATTATTAAGGGTAACAACGTGTAGATTCTTGCAGAATTGGGCCCCATGTTGATTATTCTCAATAATCGTCCAGAAGAATGTCCAGCATGTTTTACACACAATGCAGTAGTTGACATGCAACAATGACATTCTCCTCCTTAACTTGACTGTCTCATGACCCAAATCATTTAAACTAAATACTTCTCTTTTAAAGCCTTTAGCAGCTTTCTTTCATAATTAC